AGAAAAATAAATCCCTAGCAGGAGACATCATAATTAAACATGTGAAAACTAAAGCAAAAAAGAAAAAAATCTGGATTGTTTCTAAAAGTACACTCATAAGGGAAAGTAACAGTAAGCAAAAAAAGGTGCCATAAAAGGTTACAATGGTAAAAAATAAAGTTTTAGTAAAAAGGTTAAAAGGAAAGGTTTTGAGGACAGAAGTCTGACTGCTTTTTCCTATTTTCCAAAATCCTTTCCAGAGGGTCTGGAGGGAGTCACACCCACAAACATGAAGAGGCCATTCTGACCCACTGGTAACAGGATTCTTCCTATATCCTGCCCCTGGCATAGTGTCTTTGTGATGTACATTAAGCATTCTTGTAGCTGTTAAAGTACATCCTTTTCTGATCTCAGCAACCTTTCTTTTCCAATCACCAACCTAAAAACTGTAAACCCATCTATAACCTACCAGCCCCTACCCCACACAGTCCCCATCCTGCTTCCACATGTCCTGCCTTTTTGGGCCAGACCAATGGAAAAACTCTTCAATAAATTCCAAACACTGTCTCTTGCTCTCAAAATCAAATAAAAGGAACCCAATCACTCCGAGAAAAGCATGGTTTGCCTCCTCTCCGGGCCTAGGTCACTCATACTCTGCTTAGAAATAAATCGCATTAATTATTATTTTTACAGAGTTGGTTATTTTCCGTTGACGGTTTTAACATATTAAGTATTTTGTATAGTAAAGTTTTTGTCTTCAGGAAAATGGCCAAGGCAAAGAAAAAGGACAGAAACGGCTAGTCTACAGCATGCTGTTAAAGTTTCAGTCATGTTGGGAGAGTCTCAGAGTTAAAGTTGATAAAATTGAAATTTTGTTTATAACTATTCTAAAACTGATTATACTAATATTATGCTGTCAGACATAATTCTGGATATTAACTTTAAGTCCTATATACAATAGGAATAGTTAAGGCTTTTGTCTATTGCATCGCTATTGTAATGAACTGCTCTTCTCTTTTAGAATCCATCAAGCTACAAATGGTGGTTGGAACAGTCGCCAGTGAACACCCATCATGACCTCTAGCATGAGCCTCTAGATAGTCCTCTGGCAGAGGATCTGCTGCCTCCCCTCTCCCTTCTAATCATTGCCCAATTTCAGAAGGAAGAAGTCAGAGCAGTCTTTGACCTTTGTTCCCCTAACAGAATGTTAGGGATTCCTAGCAGAGGAGGGAATGATGTAGGAGACAGGGACCCTAAAAATATAGTTAGGATACACGTATCGATTTCAGGAATCTTCACATATGATAAAGCTGCACAAAACTGCATACACGAGCACACACACCAGTGAATGAAACACTGGGAAATCTAAATAACATCCGTGGATTGCTTCAGTATCAATTTCCTGGTGTGATACCGTACTAGAGTTATCTAAGATGCTGCCCTTTGGGAAGGCAGTGAAGGGTATACAGAATCTACATTATTTCTTACAACTGCCTGTGAATCTTCAATTATCTCAAAATAAAATTTTTAAAAATCTTAAGAAAAAATGAGTATTAGAGTAAAAGCAATTTTGACTTTATATAAAATCTTGGATACAAAACAGAGGCTAAGAAATAAACCAAATCCTTCCCCTAACTTCCTTGTTAAGAGTTTGAGAAGCGGAAGGAAGAACATCCAGTTGCATTCTGGGCACCATGGCTTTGTAGTCCAGACATCCTGCATCATCAAGATACAAAAGATTACTTATTACATTGCTAGAAAAGTCAGACTTGTTTTCTATGCAAAAATGCATCCATGACTTTTCCAATGACCCTACATAATATACAGAGAGATGAATGTGTTTTGCTCAAAAAAAAGTTATCATTACTTTGCTAAACATATAGGTTATGCACATTTTTATGGAAAATTTTTAAAATGAAGGCAGATAATAACAGTAAGTAAAACAAAAATTACGTGACCCAGTGGTAACATGGTCTGTTCTTTTTCCTATGTTCATCTGCAGGTTTGAGGGGATGGAGAGAAACTATAATATACTAGAAATCTGGAATTGGCAAATGAGACAGCCTGTGGGCTAAACCCAGGCATACACCTGTTCTTGCACACCCTGCAAGTTTCACACCATGGGTGTACTTTTATGTGGTCACACGCCAACCGAACAGCCTCCATACTGCCTGTCTGCCTGCAGAGCTTAAAACATTCACTACTAGACTTTTACAGAAAAAGCATGACAATCCCAGCACGAAATGGCTATTTACAGTTAAAAAGATAATGTGGAAAAACATAAAATGAATACTGTCCTTATCTAAATCTTAACATCATTACTCATGTTACTGGCAGATAAGAATTCATCGCTTGGATATATCATTTCAAATCGACTACTTATTTCTGGGTACTTAGCCTGCTTGCAAATTTTTATACTCTAAACAAAGCTAATAAACTAACTCTTGCACCTATATTCCTGCACAGAGAAATGAACATACTTCTTGAAAGAGGTCTAATGTAAAACTAAAATTACTTTATAAATAACTATTTTATAGCTATTTTATTTTTATTTATTTATTTTTGTTTTAGGGCACATTGCTTGCCAAAGAGATACAGAGACCAAAGAGATATAGCGACAGAGACAGAGAAAGTGAGAAATCACCCACCCCTCAGTGGGGATGGCCATGATGCAATACCTTCCCACTTTCTAATTCTCTGTCTCCCCATGTCTCTCTGGCGAGTGCATGCACACTGTAGTGAAATCTCTCTCTAAAACAAAAAGAAAGAAAATCATACCTTGTATGTGTCTGTGTATGGTGTGTCTGTATATGGTGTGTGTGTGTGTGTGTGTGTGTGTGAGAGAGAGAGAGAGAGAGAGAGAGAAGAATGGAGGAAGGATGATTTCTCACTTTCTCTCTCTTGCTTTCTGCTAAGTGCATGTGCCCTATGGCAAAAACTTTAAAAAAAATTTTTTTTAATTAATTTTATCTATCTAATTCTATGGCAACCACACAGGGAAGCCGTAACCCTCATTTTTCACGTGGGAAACTGAAGATTAGAGGGGGGAGTGCTATGCCCACCTACGTCACAGGAAGAGTACAAGGTATAGCCGAGGTATAAACCCCAGGGGCCAGCTCCAGTCCTTCAGCACCAAGAACCCAAAACTGACTGGGCCCATTTCTGCTAATCAGCTGTATGGCATCAGACAGGCCACCCTTTTGGTTTCTGTCCCCCCAACTTTAAAATAACCACTTTTGCCTCCAATTTCTTTCCTGTGTTTGGTCAAGTCTCATTTCCTAACTTCCTTGTTTATTTTTAAAATATACTTCTACTGACTTATTTTTTTTTTTTTTTTAAAGGTTTTTGCCTTAGGGCTGTGCGTTCACCAGAGAGAGACACAGTGAGAGGGAAAGTGAGAAATCACCCCCTGGGGGATGGCCACTCCAGCCACAGTTCCTTCTCCTTCATTTGTCTCCTGGGATCCTGGGCATGCACGCACATGCACTCAGCCTGGGACTTGAACTGTGGTCAACCATGGAGTTCAGCGATATAATCACTATGTCATCTGCTGGCTCCTCTAATAAGTTTCTGAATTTTCAATTTAAGGTAGTTTATTGTATCTGCAAATGTTTATTTAAAGAGATTCAATTTATGACGGAGTGCTATGTCACCATTTTCTACTGCAGAAAATCTGTGATTCTCTGTTTTCTTCCAGTAGTAGCTAGGTATGGAGGTTACCTGCCATCTCGGTTCAATGTAAGAGGTTTTCCCGAATAACAACAACAGATGAGCCTATGGAGGGGATAAGGTATCTGGGTGCTTACGTTAATAACCATCTGAGTTATGTTAATAAAATGAAGTGTATGTTCTTTTTATAAGTGGTGCTTTCCTTTTTTTTTTTTTTTAAAGGTTTTTGCCATAAGGCTTGTGCACTCACCAGAGAGAGACAGACAACGAGAAGGCAAATGAGAAATCACTTCCACAGGGGGCACGGTCACGCTCGAGGCCCATCTCCAGATCTGGGGCATACACACACGTGCACCTGCTGTGATTTCCAACCTGCCAGGGCTGGGGCTCAAACCACAGTCAGCATGGGGAGGTCCAGCACCTGAACCACCACACCTGAAACACCTGCTGGCCTAAGTGGTTCCTATCTGGTGGTATGAGAGAGAAGTAGGTAAGTCTTCTGATCACATGACATTCTTTGTTTCTGAGCATCCTTAATTTCCTGTTTCATTCTCCACATGGTCTTAACAAAGAATTTTTAAAAGTTCTTTCTTATAGTTGTTCTCCTTAAAATGTAGTCTCTAATACAACTTCACTCCTTAGCAACTATAAAGGTAGTTTTCTTTTTAGGAAATAAACTACAATATATATGAGTCAGTAACTATACCAATGAACATGCCACATTCATTAAAAAAAAAAAAAAAATCAAGTAATAGGGGCCAACAGGTGGTGTGGTAGTTAAGGTGTTGGATTCCCACATAGCAGACTGAAGTTAGAGTCCCAGACCTGGTGCTTGAAAAATCATGTCAGGCCTATGTGCATGTGTACCCCAAGTCCCAAGAGGAGAGTGGAGGAAAAGGGACGACGGCGTGGCCATCCCCCCATGGGGGTGATTCCTCACTTTCCCTCTGTCTCCAGTGAGCACGTGCATCCCTATGGAAAAAAACTTTAAAAAAAGGACGAATAATGAATAAATATTACCAAGCCTACAGTGATTATTTTTAAAAACAGGTTTGTAAAGTGTTTAGATTAGTTTTTAATTTGCATCAACCTTCCCACTGCCAACATGCTTTAAGCTAAAAGACTGTTCAAGATGAAAACTTTTTATTCTTTTTTCTGCTTGTTGTTTTAAGCTAATCCACTTAACATTTTTTTTAAGACTGGCATGCTCCTCCCCAGGGCCCAATTACCTATGGCTTTACTGTATTCCCTCCCAGCCCCTGGGAATGTCACATTAGCAAAGCAAAGCAAGCTCAAGATGGCCAAAGGATTAGTAGGAATCCCAACCATCTGACCTCGTGATCACCTCTTACCTCAGACTCATCTGTAGATTCTTCCAGAGACCCAGGTTCCTACAAAGCAGAGAGAAGAGAAATGGTCAGAGAGATGACAAGAGAATAAAAAGCATCTGCAATGGGAAAGAGGCCTGGGGTCTGCACCACCAACACCCATCTGGCCTATTAGGAAGGGAATTTGCAAGCACACCTACGAGGACACCATGCACTCCTCCTCCTGCAGGCTGGGAAGATTTCCTCTTGGTTGCACAGAGCCACAGTCCCACTAACCTCCCTCCAGGATCAGCAGGTGAACAAATTACCCCAGGAACTTGTCCACGGAGGGCCTGGAAGGCTCTTCCCAATGCTAAAAGTGGAAATCCATCTGGCCAAACAGCCTCACTGATCTCGGGAGGCAAGAGGAAACTGCCATCTCAAATTATCTACAAGCCAATTTTTATACTGAAAAGCTCCTGTGCTATTAGTTGTTATGCTATTAATCTGGTTGAGTCAAATGTCTCGCTGAAACAGCTTTCTAAAAAGACCCCCCTGCAGTGGTACCTATCAGACCCTGTGCAAACAAGCTGGGTAATTTACACGCACTCTTGAAGCCATTAACACGAAGACAAATTCGGCCATGGCACGCAGCTCCTCTCTTGCTAGACAATGAATCTTCCTGCTCTGGAGAAAGTAAAGCAAAAAGAGAAAAACAGACTTGATCCTGCTAATCTCTCACCTGTCCACCGAACAGAGAATCTGCTGATGCCACGCATCCTCAAAGAGGTCAGCAAAATGAAGATTTACTTAACGTACTTATAGATATCAATAGCAATAAAAGGTCGCAACTAATATGCTGACGCTGAATGTAAGCATTTTACAACAATCTATGAGATAAACAAAGAACGAACAAAAAATGTGACAAGGGCATTTTAGATATAACTAATATTTTTCCAAGAAAAAAGTGAACATTAAAAAAAAGTCAGGTGGATATATTACTCAATGCACGTTGAAGAGCGGGAAGAACGTGAACCCAGTGTCTGAGGACATTTTCATTTCGCTCATCGAAAATCAGTAAGAGCTGGCGGGTGGCGCCCTCCAGAACGCGGCTTCGGCTTCGTGGGCGAGAAGGACCTGCCCTCAGAGGCCGTCTGTGAAATGGGGGTGAATGTCACTTGTACTGAGGATTTCACCGTCACCCAGATGCCATGGAGTCTCCCCTGCATCCCAGTGAGGCCTGTCTAACTCAGCGCCACTCTAACTTCAGAAAGCTCGCATTCATTTGCAGCTCCAACCCTCCAGTCACTTTTTGCTCTCGGTGCCACACAGAAGCCCATTCTAAGTGACAGCTTTCCAGGTAAGTAATGACGGCACCACACCCAGGCTCTAAGAGATGCTTCCTCCGCGCACCCCAGCCCTCCTGGTGTTAGTCCTCTTGCCACCTTGATCCTTCTCTCTTGGACACGCTCCACCTTAATGAGAAAGCCGCAGTCTCAGCAGTACGTCGCCCCGTTCTGACTGCTTGTCCCGTGAACTCCCTGCCTACCCACGGCACCGTGCCCCTTCCTAACCACCCCTCAAGTCGGGACAGGAGGCTTAGCGCTGAGCTTCAGGGCTGCACCCTCCTTCCACCTCCGAGAGCCGCGCCTGTTAAGGTATCAGCGCAGAGAAGCAAGGCTTTGACAACCGTGCCCACGTGGCACACCGAGACGGCCATGCTCCCTCAGGAATTCTGAAAAGTCACTGGACCACAAAGCTAAGGAAACTGTTTATTTGGAATCGATCTGAATATGCCTATGAGAAAAATGGGCAAATGCCCCATTTACGTTCTTCATTAAAACAAAACGTAAGTCTCCAACCAGCGACTGGAAAACTCAGACCAGTCACACCTCTGGTCCACAGCAGGAAGCACGCAGGGTGGCTGGCACTTGGAGGCGGGAGGCGAGGGGGTCTCAGAGAGCCGTGCCGTCAGGCAGAAGCAGGCTCTGAGGATGGCTTCCAGGGGCTGCTGGTTCCATTTGCACCAGGAAACTCTGAGACGTAGTAGCTCGGGAGCCTCCCAGACAGAGGTGGCTCAAAAAAAGGATACCTTTGGGACCAGTCGTTAGCATAATGGCTGTCACTGGACTCCCACGTAGTCAACCACGGCTCGAGTCCTGGACCTGGTGGCTTAAACTCACGCCGGGCGCGTGTGCGTGCATGCCCAAGATCCCGAGAGGAGAATGGAGGAGAAGGGATTGCGGTGTGGCCATCCCCCCTGGGGGGTGATTTCTCACTTTCTATCTCTGTGTCTGTCTTTCTTGGCGAGCGCACGCACCCTACAGCAAGAACTTCTCAAAAAAAAAAAAAAGAAAAAGAAAAAGAAAAAGGATACTTTTGTCCATAATCCTGAAAAAAAAGGCATGAGCAACTTCGGGAACCAGGAACCAGTCTGGGCTGTTATTTCTCAGCTTCATTCACCTCCCAAGGCCTCCATTGAGGAGGCCTCCGACAAGAGACGCAACCCAGAAGACACAGGGTCCAAGGCCCCGGTGAGAGATCCAGGGTACTGTTTAGAAATAGTGAGTGGTTTTCAGACTTGTTTAGCTCCACACATTCTCAAAGACTTTTAACTATGAATCATGAAACCTAAGTTCTGAGATTAAGTTATGCCGTTCTCTGAGCCAACAGGCGGCATGGTGGTTAAGGTGCTGAATCCCAGATGGCTAACTCTGCGGTTTGACTCTCGGACCCAGTGGCTTGAAAAACATGCAGGGTCCGTGTATGTGTGCATGTGTGTGTGTGCATGTGTGTGCGTGCCCAAAATCCCCAGAGGAGACTGGAAAAGAAGGGACCGAAGCATGGCCATCCGCCTGGGGGGTGCTTTCTCATTCTCTTTCTCTCTCTCTCTCTGTCCACTTATTTAAGACAAAAGTAAAACAGAGATTACCAAGGGCAGAGGAGGGTGACAGGACCTTCTGTTTAGTAAGTGCACAGCTTTAGCTTGTGAGGAGGGGGTTCTAGAGCCAGAGAGCGGCATGGGTGGTACAACTCGAATGTGCTCAACGCCACTGAGCTGTGCACTTACAAGAGTATGTTTTATGCTTTGTATATTTTACCACAATAAAAATAAATATGTGCTGTTCTTGCTGGAGCAAGAGCAATGGGCCAGGAGACTCACCGGAACATAAATGCGTAACTGAGCCGAGTCGAGGTAGCAAATTCAAAACTGAACTCGCAGTCATGCCACTGCACCTTTCTCTGGCACACCGAAACCTTAAACTCGACTACCCACTCAAACAGCTTTACCTGATGGTCACTGGACCTTGACAAGGGATTGCTTCAGAATGTTCCTCAACTACCGTCAGATTACCCTCTAAAAGCACAGACCAGACCGTTTGCTGCCCTCCTAAAAGAACCCTGAGTTTCCCAGTTAGAAAACAAGGATTTCAGATTCCCCAGCATAACGGTCAAAGACCTACCTTGTCTGTCCCCACCCGGCCCTCAGGCTCACCTCCTACTCTCTCCACAGACCTACAACCCTTCAAGCCACATCGGCTGACTTTTCCCACTGAGGTATCAACATGTTCCCATCTGTGGCACGGAGGTGGTAAAATGGTGGCCCAGGGTGGGATGTGGTCTACGGGCATTTAGTATGGCCTGGGTGGTGTTTTTAAAAGACTTCTATATAAGGATCTACAAGTCTAACTTAATAAAACACCGCCTGAATCCACCTTCCAATGTGACAGTCGCTGCAGGCGAGCAGTTACGCCCAGGATCCACCGCCGCCATTCCCGATTCCTTCCACAAGGCGGGCCAAACATGTCTTCCACCACCTGCAGAGTGGTGCAGACTGCCTGTGAGACAGAAGCTCCCAAACCGATGAGCCCCCCTTCTCTAAAGCAGTAACGTGGGCCAGCTAAGCTTATTCGCGAATACACTTTACTTATGTGATGAAAAAGAGTGGGCCCTTTAAAACTTAGTCTCATCATGTGCTTTGGGGAGTTTTCTTTAGTTATTGGTAACACTGATTTTTAAAGACTTGTCTTGGTTAACAGGCAAGGAGACAGAGGCAGTGAAATACATGTTGACTTGATGTTTATTGCATGCATAATCATAGGGTGTACATGATCACAAAGGTTTATTTTACGCATAATCATAGGGTGTACATGATCACAAAGGGGCCACCTGATAACCTGTAAGTCATCTACAATAAGGATAGAATTTCCCTAATATCTAAAACACAGAATTCAAAGTAGACACTCTTCTATCTGATCAGGGAAGAGACCATCTGATTGCTCAAATGGACTAGGCTCTAGGCTGGCTGACAGAAAAGAAGAAAGCATACTTGGGTAGTTGGCAGGTGAACAACATATAAAATGTAATCTAAGGAACCAGCAGATGGCATAATGGTTACGCCACTGGACTCCCAATGGAGTCAACCTTGGTTTGAGTCCTGGACCTGGAGGCTGAAACTCATGCCGAGCACTTGTATGTGCATGCCCAAAATCCCAAAGGGAGAATGGAGGAGAGGGGATTGTGGTGTGGCCATCCCCCCAAACCCCCTCAGGGGAGTGATTTCTCACTTTCTATCTCTCTGTCTCTCTGGCAAGCGCATGCACCCTAGAGCAAAAATCTCTGTTGAAAAAAATGTAATCTACATTACATTTGAATTAAAAACTTTCAAAAGTTTCAAGTAAGATAAAACAATTACACACTAGTTCCACTGAAACTAATTTACAATTTGACAATTCTGGAAGCTATCCCCCCACCTAGTAAGTTCATTTAAACATTTTCTTAAACACCTAGTACCTGTTAAAACACTAGCTCTCTGAGATACAGACATGAGGAAGCTCTCACGCCTATTCCTGAGGACTCAGCAATCTGGAGGAGAGATAAGACAGATACACAAACAACCAGGCTTCAGGCAGAACATTATTCATAAGAGAGGTATGGACAATACTGTTGGGCATCTGCGATTATGAAGGTCAACTATAAATCATTCTGGAGCTAAGTAAAACTGCTGGTTAGAAGATTTCCAGGCGGAAAGCAGGGTATTCTGTGAACTATAAAATACATACACAGTTATTTTTGCAAACTACCTCCCCCATATTCAGAAAAGCAAAGATTTCTCAATTACTTGTAAAATTTATCATTAATATTCCAAGAATGATTTTAGTTTTAGTCTCTATGCTGTTGTCACTATTTTGGGTCATCCTAAAATTAACGGGGGAGCAATTACAAAGAATCTAACACTCAGGAAAATGAGTATGGAGAATGTAGTTTTGTGTGGCTCATCTTGGAAGGTTGTTTGCATTCACAGGGTACCAAAAGAAAAAAAAAGGTTCCTTTGTCCTAACCTCTAACTTGTCATAATGGTTCACTTAGTGCACATTTCAATTCCTAAAGCATTAAGGAAGAAAATATATATATATATATGATGTCCTCATTTACTGAAAGGTTCAAGGTAACAGAATAGAACAACTAGAAAACTTACATTCTCCACTTCTGTACACTTTTAGTCTTCAAATTATCGTATAATTGGCTCAGTGACAGTAGCACAATTAGTATAGCACTGCTGCATGATGCTGGAGTCACACGGGAGGCCTTGGGTTCTGATCCCAGGCTGACCTCAAACACCCAGGGTGTACCTGCAATCTTAGCTGGCTGTGAGGCTGGAGTCTGGGGGCCATGGGCCGGAG